AGTTTACTTTCTTATTTATCATTTCACTGAGTTTTGTTTTCATATATTATACGTTTTATTTTATTTTGTGTATATACTCTTATTTCACTTTCTTTTCTATTTTATAATACTCCTTACTATTCCATTTTAATTCTTCTTTCCATTTTTTTATTTTATTGTCATTCACTCATCATACGTCATATAATTATTTATATATTATTTATTATTCATATAACACTTCATATTCATAAACATAATCATAATTCATCATTATACCGCTATATTAATTCATCATAACTCATATTCGCCTAATATAAAACCATTAACTAATCATATTTCTTTTCACCATTATTTTCTGCCAGTCTTTATCCTATTATACTCTTCTTATACACAAATATCGTTCCCATCTTCTGTCTGCTAACTCTTAATTATTATCTACATTATTATAATTTTTTTAAATGATAATTTTAATACTTTTTACTTCCTAACTGCAATTATTATTCAAATTCTTATTCTTCCCATTATTTTATTATTCTTGTCTTTTATTTTATTTATTCTTCAATTCATTATCTTAATTTATTATTTCATCAGTCCATTATATTTAAATATTTACTCATTTTTTAATTCTCGTTTTCCTTTTCTTATCCTGGTCCACTGTTCCTTTTTCTTCTGTCCTTTTTTTTACATTTCTACTTTTCTTTGAATTTATTTCTCGTCTTTTCCTTTTCAGATAAACTTCTATTATTAATTTTTCTCCTTAATCTTCTCAAAATTCTTTTAATTTTCCTTTTGTTAACAATTTTCATTTTGTTCCCATCTCTTCTTACTTTTTCCCATCTTATTTTATCAATTACTTTTTTCTTGTTTTTACTTCTCATTTGCTTTTTAATAATTTTTGTTCCCATTTTATTTCCTTTTATTGTCATTTCTATTTCATATTTCTCTTGTAAATATTTTAACTTCTTTTCCATTTCTTTTAAATTTTTATCAATTTCCTCTTCTACACCATCATACCAATTTAATGCATGGTTATCTAAATTTTCCCGTATTACTTCTTTCATATCTTCTATATTTCTAAAATATTTCAGTTTATTTCTCAAATTCTTCATAAATACTTTTGGATGTAATTTTCTAATATTTCCTTCGAATTTGTGGTTAATTGCTCCATACATAGTTCTTATTCCCCCCATATGTTCTATATTTGTCTGTACACCAACTCTTTCCTGTTGCTCTAACTGAGTTTTTATCTTTTCTATTTCCTTTTTCAATTCTAATTTTGTTTTTTTATTTTCTTCTTCAGCTATCTCTATGTTCATTTGCATTCCTTTATTTATTTGTTCTTCTATAATTTGTATATTTTTATTATTTTTAGTAATATCCCTTTCTATTTTCTTTATCTCTTCTTTATTTGATTTTATTTTATGCTTATTCTCTGCTATCTCTTCTTTCATCGTTTTCTCATTTTCTTGTATTATTTGGAATTTGTTATCTTGTAATATCTCTACTTCATCTATCCTGGCTATCATTTCTACTCTTATTTCCTTTTTTGTCTCTTCGATTTTATTTTCGAAATATATTTTTGATTCATCAATCCTTTTTATTACACTTGCTATATCTTGCTTGATTTCTTCTTTATCTTGCTTCCTTTCTTCTTTATCTCTCTGTCTTTCCCGTTTTCTTTCTTCTTTATCTTGTATCATTAATTTTATTAACATTTCAAATTTGTCGTTAATCATACTGTCCTCTTCTACTTGTTCCGAAATATCTTGTTTGTCTCCTTTATTTGTGTTTGGATTTTGATCCTTTTTTTCTATTTCTGACTCCATTGAGTCTGTTACTTTCTCTACACTGACGGTTTCATCTATATTTTGCACTTGCAATTCTTCTGTAACTCCTTGTCCTTCTTCATCTTCCCCTTCCTTTCTCATGATTTTCTTTCCGTCTCTTAAATTCATTTAAAATTTTTTTATACTACCCTATTCACTTTATATATGAAACTTGTATATTTTACACTCTGTATAATATCACTACACTATATTTTAATGAGCACGCCACTGCTTTAACGTTGCCCCACTTTGGTTAGCGACATTTGTTATGATTTATACACTTACACTTCATAACCTCACAAGTTACAAAAAAAAATTTCATAAACTTATCTTACCTCGGCTAGCTTCTTAATATAATTTTTTTTAATAGAGCAGATTCTCTTTGTCCCAGTGGTGTCGGTTCCAGAAATGAAATACTTTATAAACTTAATTTATTTAGTTTATTTAATTATTTAATTTAGTTTATTTAGTTTATTTAATTATTTAATTTTGTTTATTTAGTTTATTTAGTTTATTTAGTTTATTTAGTTTATTTAGTTTATTTAGTTTATTTAGTTTATTTAATTTATTTAATTTATTTAGTTTATTTAGTTTATTTAGTTTATTTAGTTTATTTAATTTATTTAGTTTATTTAGTTTATTTAGTTTATTTAGTTTATTTAGTTTATTTAGTTTATTTAGTTTATTTAGTTTATTTAGTTTATTTAGTTTATTTAGTTTATTTAGTTTATTTAGTTTATTTAGTTTATTTAGTTTATTTAGTTTATTTAGTTTATTTAGTTTATTTAGTTTATTTAGTTTATTTAGTTTATTTAGTTTATTTAGTTTATTTAGTTTATTTAGTTTATTTAGTTTATTTAGTTTATTTAGTTTATTTAGTTTATTTAGTTTATTTAGTTTATTTAGTTTATTTAGTTTATTTAGTTTATTTAGTTTATTTAGTTTATTTAGTTTATTTAGTTTATTTAGTTTATTTAGTTTATTTAGTTTATTTAGTTTATTTAGTTTATTTAGTTTATTTAGTTTATTTAGTTTATTTAGTTTATTTAGTTTATTTAGTTTATTTAGTTTATTTAGTTTATTTAGTTTATTTAGTTTATTTATTAAATAACAGCAACAATTCTAACAATAAGATACCTTGAATTATTAATTTTTATATCTAAATAAATGGATTGAGCTTTATGTTCTATATAAAAAGTTAAGTTTAAGGATGTGGTTTATATATTAATTAGTCAATTAAATTATATGTTGCTTTTAATTACCATCGTCAGAGTTATCCTTTAAAATATTTTTTTTTAATAGACGAATTGTAAATACAAGTTCCAATTTATTAAAAGTAATTTGTAACAACGTTTAAATTTCTGAAAAATCTACAATATTGTCTATATACTAACTTACTAAATTACTCTAATCATACATCCATCACAATATACACTTACTAACCACTAAATTTCAATGTGACAATTAAAAAAAAATTTTGACGTTTTACTTTTCCAAAATGTAACTATTATAAATAATTTACTTAATTCTAATCTTCTAATGGTTTATCTTCAATTTTAAAAGCAAATATAGTTTATTGAATTAGTGATAACAAAATTGTCTATTATGCTCTTTCACTATAACAAAACTGTTTACTCACAGTAAAATGTCCTTTCTTCTATCATCTTCAAATCCAAAAACTTCTGACTAATATGTCTGCATTCTCACTATTCAGTTTATAATAGATTCCCCATATAACTTCACCCGTTTACTTTAAGTGTACAATTGAGGTGATATACAATTTGTCTATTTTTAATTTGTTATTAAATATTACAACTTTTTTAAACAAATTTAAATGTACTGCGGCTCTAAATTTAGGTAATTTTTTTTAAATATTCTTTCACGAAAAAAATTGATTCCCGTCTGATCTCTTTCAACCTTCTTATCAATCTCCCCGTCTCCTCGGATATCCCTGACTTATCAAATTACTTTGACATTTCTCCCTCAAATTAAATTTAGTGTACAGGATGATATATTTTTTCTTTATTATACACAAATATAAATTTTATTGACTAATTTTTATTTATTACTATATTATTATTATTATATTATTATTATTATTAGTTTTATTATTATTTTATAACACAGGGTGTTTTGATAACATAACAATATATATATATATATAGATTACTATAGATAGCGATTAATTACAGGGTAGCATGCGTAGCTTTGAAGGATTTTTGAAAAAAAATCACTTTTTTTAGGACAGTTGAAAAACGAAAAGATGTCATTGTCCCATGAACATATTGCGTAGTGCAAGTCATTTTCAGTCAATCCGGTCCTAATCTATATTTACCTTATCGCCATTCAGCTGCCCATCTTACGAGAAAGTTTTAGAATTTGGTGAATACTTTCTTGAGAGCTTGATGAATGATATGGAATTCCAACTTTTGGCGAAGGTGGTAAATCGCGAAATTTCGAGGAATTTGGTGGAAGTCCACTAGAAAGATTCCGGAGATAGGCAATATATTATTATACACGATACGCAATTTTTAGACTTTTAAAGTAGGCTATTGGGGAGTGGATGGCTCAGTGGTAAAGTCTCTGCCTGCGGATCCAAGGGTACCAGGTTCGAATCTCACCATTGGCCGGGATTTTTTTATTTAATTTAATTATTTAAAATTAATTCTGATGCCTTGATAGGATTCCCCACTCGACCATTCACTGTTGGGTTTTAATTAATAGTGCTCTTCCTAAAGTGGTACAAGGAAACACTAACAAGGCCGATCTGTAGGGGTGCAGGAGTATTAGAGTACTAATACTCCTGCACTAGTACTAGTACAATCCATAACCTACATAGAACACGAGGGCTAATGACCTTAGTTGCTGAAGCCAGACACCAATAAAAAAAAAAGTAGGCTATTTGTAATTAAATATCATTTGATAGTTTCTAGTTTTAAGACAATTTTGTATACTACAAATTAAATTCATTTGATATTTTTAGTTTTTATATTTATTTCTTAAAATAATGTGATCGTAAAAAAAATATTGTGTGCATTTTGAATGAAAAGTTCGTTGTCGCTTTCGATAGACGTTCTGTCTTAAGCGGCAAAATATCTCTTTTCGCTCCAAACGCAGCTCTTAATACTCAAATAACTACTATTGTAGATAATATACGGTTTTAAGAAGCTATAAAATATATTATTTTTGACTTACTTTATAGTTGTCGATAAAATTATTTTTAAAATCATCCTTAATACCTCTTGGGAGAGCCGAGTACTTTTTGAAATAAATTTCTCTATAACCAATATTTAGATAATAGCAGGGGGCAGAATATGGGTTAGTGCCTTCTGACACAATTATTTCTACCTCTCCGTCGGCCCTGACTGAGAATGTGGATTTGAAAGAATTCTCCAATTCTATCTTTTCTTGAAATTCATTCAATGAATTTGATATTAAAATTGTCGGAAAATCTAAAAAATACATAAAGAAATATCACATTTGGATCTGAATGTAAACAGTAAATAATAATTACCTTCCCATCTTGTATCGGTAATAAATTCTTTGGTTTCAGGTGATGTTTCATCGATATACCAATCTTTCAACGACCAAATGGTATTGCAATGGTTATTTGCGGAAAATTTGCAATTAAAGTCATTCTCTATAGTTGGAATATACTTGTTGGCTACAAAATAAAAAGTACAAATCAGTTCATTCAATATTATTTAATTTTTGGTTATTAAAAAGTAAACGAAAATAAATCAAATGTGATCAAGACGTAAAATAAAATGAATAAATCTAAAAGATAATATCACATAAATACCAACGAACGTTTCCCTTCAGAAAACAACTACTACTTTGGCTAATACCACAACAGGTATTGAATTATATTCCGATGGAAAGACAGCAGAGATAGAAATTAAATTTCAACACTCTACCTTTGATTTTGCTATCCAAGGAGAACATCATTCTTGGACCGGTTTCGTCCTTATTAGGACTCTTCAGCAAGAAATGGATAGGTTCTCAATTCCAGTGTCTAATGGAATTAACAAATGCCACACATTTCACCAGTATACAATAAAGTTAGTTGCGAAGAGAATAAGAATTCAAGTAGTGAAATGGTGTCGCCATCTGTTCCTAGTAGGCAAAATCAAAAGGCGCTGTAGTACCCAGTTAGAAAACTAGGTGGAACCAAAAAACCAGGCTGGCAATTTGTAAACGAAAATAAATCAAACTCAAATGTGATCAAGACGTAAAATAAAATGAATAAATCTAAAAGCCAATATCACATAAATACCAACGACCGTTTCCCTTCGGAAAACAACTACTCCTTTGGCTAATACCGCAACAAGTATTGAATTATAGCCGAAAGAAAGAAAAAAAGAAAGACAGCAGAGATAGAAATTAAAAATTAATTTAATTATTTTTTTATTATAAATAACAATAACAATCATATAAATAATCACTTATAACAAAGAATCAAAGCAAATGTTGAAAATTGCCACCTTCTGATAAAACGCATGATTCCAATCGTCTCCTCATTGATTGTCTTACTCTTTCAAAAACTCCTGTAGTATTTCTTATGGTATTACAACCTTGAATTATTCGATTTCTTTAATCATTTTCATTTAATGCAGGTGTTTCATGTACGAGTTATTTAAGGTGTCCCCATAAATAAAGTCCAAGGGATTAAGATCGGGACTGCGAGGTGGCCAAGCTTGAGGACCTCCGTGTCCAATTCAGCGATTAGGAAAAGTCTTATCGAGGTTTGGCGAGCAAGAGGGCTGGTGCACCATCGAGCATAAACCATAAATCTCCTCTTACTTGCAGAGGCACTTCTTTTCTAACAGACCATTTAATTCTTGGTGTAAAAACTGGGATACGAATCACCATTCAGTCGAGGGGGAAAAAGTATGTTCAAATAAGATGGTCATCAATAATCCCTATCCATACATTTAGTGAAAATGTTTGCTGAAAGCGACCTTCTCTTATTGCATGAGGATTCTCCTCAGCCCATAAATATTCATTATGCTAATTAATAATTGCTTCTCGTGAAAAAGTTGCCTCATCAGTAAATACAATTAGGGTCAAAAAATTGTAGATGTGAGCAACTTTATGGAGTAACCACCTACTAAAATTTGACCTTGGCTGAAAGTCGCGGGGCAGCAGAGCTTGTACTCGTTGTATGTGGTATGGGTAAAGGAGAGAAACTTTCAAAACCCTCCAAACAGTATTTGCACTTACTTAAAACTGTTGTGCAATCTTCCTGGTACTAGTTGAAGGATTTTCGTCTATCTTCTGCAGTATAGCTTCTTCTAGCTCAGGCGTTGTTACTGTTCATGGTCTACCAGGAACTACCCGATTATGCTCAAAACTACCGGTTTCACTCAATCTGGCATGTATCTTTCTAAATGTTTTAGCATATGGCGTTACCCTATTCAGATAACGTTGCTGATAAATTCATCTAGCTTTCGCTGAATTCCCGTTTGCTAAGCCATAAATGAAGTGCATTTGAGCCATTTCAGCGTTAGTAAAGTTGTTCATTTTATGTCTGACATACAAATAAATAAACAATTGGCGACTAGTAAAATGTCAAACAAGTAACTGGGAAAAATTGAAGATAACATTTTTGTTGTAAATTGTTCAAAGAGATTAAAAATAATAAAAAATATTGAAAAAAATGACTGTCTGTGTTGCTTTTTCTTCCAAATCAAACATTAAAAACAGAACAGTGACATAACACGTTTTTCCTTCCATATTTTTCAGCGATTACTTTGATTAAAATATCTTAAATGGTTTTCGAAATATTTAAAAAATGTAATTTTTTTTTTTTATGAAACTTTTACACCCTGTATTTCCGTACTGAAGCATTTTTGAGACATAGTGTATATGACAAAAATACCTTTATTTTAGCTCCAGAATATGCTCTTGAAGTTATATACCGTACTTATCGAACACTCTATATATTCATTTCCAACGAAAAATAAGATTGTACACTTTTCTCCAATTTTTCCGTTACGGTCCATTTTAGAGAAATAATGTACAAAACAAAACTTATAGAGATCGATATCATAAACAACTTTTATAAAAATTTTTTACATTTTGTCAAATTTTTCGAATACGGACCATTTTAGAAAAATTTGTGTGGTACAAATATTATAGACTTATAGAGAATAATATTAGAAGAAACTTTTATTTAAAGAATGTTCTTATCCAAACGTAAATAACAGATATATTCCATAAAATATAAAAATAACCTCCTATAAAGTACCCCCAGATGTTCCGACTCTGTCAGTTTAATGCAGGCCAAAATAAAGGTTAAGTTTAAAATTTGGTGTTTTTCTCTTTATCCGTTTTTGAGTTTTCTTCAAAATTCAAAAGTTACACATTTTCTTAAATATCTCGAATACGATCCATTTTACAGAAATTATGTTTAAAACAAGAATTATAGAAAATAATATAACAAACAACTTTTATTTGACCAATTTTCATAAAAATTTGATTTTTGTACATTTTGTTAAATTTCTCGAATACGGATCATTTTAGAAAAATTTTGTATAGATAAAAAATTATAGAGAATAATATTAGAAGTAACTTTTATTTGAAGCATTTTTTCTCCAAAAGTAAATAGATATATTCTATAAAATATAAAAATGACCACCTGTAAAGTACCCCCCAGATGTTTCGACTTTGCCCAAAACCTAATCAGTTCACCTCAGGCCGGAATAAAGCTTGAGTTTAAAATTTTGTGTTTTTATTTTTATCTGATCATGAGTTATCGTGGATACAGACACACACAGAGGCATCATCACGAAAATAGTCAAAACGGATTTAGGGGACCCCAAAACGAAAAAATCCGTCGAAAACTCGAGATCGAAAAAAATCATGATTCCTATACTTTCCTTATCTGTATATAGATAAGAAAAGAAAAATGTTATGAAGTTGCTGGCTTGACTTGATATACCCGCAAATAAGGCAACTGTTATGTAGTATCGCATTAGATAAGAGTGTTGTTTTATTATTCTGATTTGTTTATTGCCAAAGTTAGATAAAGTAATGAGTAGTTAGGAATAATCACTAATCATTCTAGTGTTACAGAGATGGTTGAATTAAATAAATAATTTTGATAAGCAACCAATTTAAAAAAAAAATTAAATAGTTTAGTAACAGAGCATAACAAAAAAATTGGTTGCTAACACTAATAGGGTGAATATTTTTATTTTGCCTAGAGTTATTCGTATGTAAATTCGATTCAATAATTTTTTCAACTCGATTTAATTCCCTACTCTAGAAATCAAAAACATGTTTCATTGATAACAGGAATAGGTGGATTTAAATCCCCCCTCGGGAAGAATTTTTTCAGTTTTCTATAAAATTTGTTTTCACCTCGGAGGTTCAAAAATAATTTTCATTATGTCATAGGGGTAATATCGGAATTTATTTTTGGCAATTCCCTGGACATTTTTCAAAAAATAATTAGTTACGAACCACGTGCGGAAAGACTAAGTACTGTATAATGTAACATTAGTTTAATTTATTTATAGTTTATTTATTTAAAACACTTTATTTATAATTTATTTATAATTTATTTATAATTTATTTATAATTTATTTATAATTTATTTATAATTTATTTATAATTTATTTATAATTTATTTATAATTTATTTATAATTTATTTATAATTTATTTATAATTTATTTATAATTTATTTATAATTTATTTATAATTTATTTATAATTTATTTATAATTTATTTATAATTTATTTATAATTTATTTATAATTTATTTATAATTTATTTATAATTTATTTATAATTTATTTATAATTTATTTATAATTTATTTATAATTTATTTATAATTTATTTATAATTTATTTATAATTTATTTATAATTTATTTATAATTTATTTATAATTTATTTATAATTTATTTATAATTTATTTATAATTTATTTATAATTTATTTATAATTTATTTATAATTTATTTATAATTTATTTATAATTTATTTATAATTTATTTATAATTTATTTATAATTTATTTATAATTTATTTATAATTTATTTATAATTTATTTATAATTTATTTATAATTAATTTATTTATAATTTATTTATAATTTATTTATAATTTATTTATAATTTATTTATTTATAATTTATTTATAATTTATTTATAATTTATTTATAATTTATTTATAATTTATTTATAATTTATTTATAATTTATTTATAATTTATTTATAATTTATTTATAATTTATTTATAATTTATTTATAATTTATTTATAATTTATTTATAATTTATTTATAATTTATTTATAATTTATTTATAATTTATTTATAATTTATTTATAATTTATTTATAATTTATTTATAATTTATTTATAATTTATTTATAATTTATTTATAATTTATTTATAATTTATTTATAATTTATTTATAATTTATTTATAATTTATTTATAATTTATTTATAATTTATTTATAATTTATTTATAATTTATTTATAATTTATTTATAATTTATTTATAATTTATTTATAATTTATTTATAATTTATTTATAATTTATTTATAATTTATTTATAATTTATTTATAATTTATTTATAATTTATTTATAATTTATTTATAATTTATTTATAATTTATTTATAATTTATTTATAATTTATTTATAATTTATTTATAATTTA